AATCTAGCTAATAAGTCACTGAATCCAGGGCAAATTCTACTGCACCAAAGAACTTGAATTATGTCACAAATTGAGAAGATTGTCTTGAGCTCGATACTATATTCAGAGTTAAAACTCAAAATATCATGTTCAGCTGGGGAACTGTCAAATTTCCCATTCCCACAAAAATAGGTGACAAATATTTATGGTCTAGGTCCTTGGCCTATCATATTTAGCCTTCATTAAAAGATGGAATATCTAGGTAGTTCCCTGTTTGTACAGAACTGTGTTCATCACAGCCATTCGTTCACTGATTTGTACATTCAACTGGCCAGTGAGACTCAGATTCCTGCTCTTACAGAACTTAAATTCAAATTCAGCTCATGTGCTAGCTATAGGGCCAAGTCCCTTAACATATAGGTGTCCAGAGAGCTAGTTTCTCTAACAAGCTATCTTATCTGATAACTTCTATGGGAGCACTGGCATTTTAATTTTCCAGATAGGAAAGTGAGACTCAGAAAAGGTAAAGGACTTATCCAAAGTAACATAATCAGCCAATATTTAAAACTGGTTGTTTTTTTTTGTACTAAGTGCTCTGGCCCTTTCCAGCAGCAACACTGTCTATCTTATGTTTAAAGTATGATTTCTCTGTTCTGTCTAAAAGAATTTCCTGTCAAAACAAAAGCCATATCTAATTTGGTCAGGAATTACGAGGCCATGTGCAGTCTGGGCCAGCTCTGCCTGTGGGCTGAGAGCTTGGCTCCCACCAGGTCAAGCAGCAGCAGCTCCCTAGACATAAGATGGGACCTCAGTGGTTCTCAGCCCTGAGAGCACTGCACCTGAAGACAGCTTCTAAATCTTTACAGCAGAGATCCATGAACAGATAGATTGGTGCAATATATTTCTAAATGCTGATACAACACATCAAATACTAGCTTACCAAATAGCACCCAGCACTTCACCTTAAAAATTATGTCCCAGATAAATAAGTGTGGATTAAACTATACCTCTTTCTTGATTCCCTCACTTTGAAATTTCTAATTTGTTGAAGTGCACCCCACCACCCATGCTGCAGTACCAACACCTCCAGCCCTTCTTTTCCTTCCTTTATTCCTCCTTTCTTCCTTCCTTTCTTCTTCTTTCTCCTCCTACCCCCCTTCTTCCTCTTCTCTTCCTCTTCTTCTAAGGTTTAGAGTCTCAGTAAGTCACTAAGTTGCCCACCCTGGGCTCCAACTTTCACCTCCCATCCCAGCCTCCTTTAACATTGATGTCACAAGCATGTGTGTTAATTTCACCATTCTTTCAATTCATGGAAAGGAAACATGTATGCACAATCTTCGCTGTGAACATAATCTCTGGCATTAAGACTGTCTAGGTTGGACTCTGGAGAACATGGCGGACAGACAACAGCAACTACTGAACGCTCTCTAAAGGCTCGGCTCAGAGGCCAGGAATGATGCGGACTAAGGAGATACGAACCAGTAGAGATATGCTCTGCTGACTCAGGAACAAACTGGGCTGAGAGAATCCAACTTGGAATACAGTCCTGGCGCTAAAATAGGAACAGAAAAATCTCGGTGTGGAGGCTCGACTCCGCGCCATTGGAAACCGCGGTTTGGATTTCCCGCCGCGCGGCGGCCGGCTACCTCCACAGCGGCTCAGCAAGGAGAGACGCGACCGCCGAGCTCGGGAACGGAGTCAGAAACGTGACGGACAGGAAGCAAGGCTGACTGGAGGCGAGGTGAGCGAGGAACTGACTCCCTACCGCAGTCTGACTCCAGCGGAGGATTTTCTGGGCGCGGGCAGTCCTGTAAGAGCAGGGCGCGGCGGCAACTGCAGCTGCATGGTTCCCTCTCGGACGGGATTGGTGAAAGGTGCCTGGCCGGAGGGACGCTGCTCGCGGACCCCCTAGGCTGGCCTAGCCCAGATCCCAGAGCCTGACGGTGGCCCGGAGGAGCGACCGACTTCCGCGTAGGCTGCCTCCTCCGCAACTCCCTGGGGCGCAGCAGTGAGCTGGAACAACTAGCCAGCGCAATTCGATCAAGCTGTAGCTGACAGGCAGGGAAGCCGGGCCTCCTGTGTAAGATTACATTTCATAAGGAACAGAAAATATGGGGAAGGGAAGCAACAAAAAAGGCTCCTCGACCCCCAATCCTGAGAATCAGGCAATAGTGGACACTGTACCAATATACATTAAGCGCCATTTAGAGAGCCTCATAGACCAATTCAGGAATGAAGTTATCAATGACCTGAAGCTAGAAGTATGCAGAATAGTTAGAGAAATGCTAAGCACCACCCAGGAAAAAGCAGATGGTGGAGTGGAAGAACAGAAAAAGAGGGGAGAATTGCTTGATGGAGAAAACACAGAAAGCATGGAGTATGTGAAGCAGGTGCAAAGGGACTATCAAGAAATCAAGAAGTCTACCCAAGACTGGCATAACAGCTTGAAAGAAACTAAGGACAGACTATCTGAATTGGAGGGCAGACTTGAAACATGGGAGAATGAAATGAAAAACTTCTTAAAAATAACAAAGAAACACACAGCAATAATACAAAGACAAGAAGATGATAAGAGGAGCCATAACTTAAGGATTAAGAACATAAAAGAAGAAGTAGGGACACAAACAAGTGAACTACAAAAGCTACTCACAGAAATAATCCAGGAGAATTTTCCTAATTTAGCAAAAGGTAAAGATACTCAAATGTATGAGGCATACAGGACCCCAGCTACCTACAACCCTAACAGAGAAACACCCAGACATATAATAATAAAAATTCCAGAAATTCAATACAAGAACAGAATATTAAAAGCTGTAAGAGACAAGAAACAGATCACTTACAAGGGAAGACCCATCAAAATTACAGCAGATTTCTCTTCACAAACCATCAAATCACGAAGAGCATGGGGAGAAATAATTCAAGCTTTGAAAGATAATAATCTACAGCCAAGATTGAGATATCCTGCACAACTGTCCCTGGAAATTGATGGAAAAACGAGGTGCTTCCAAGATAAAGAGGAACTGGGGGAATTTGCAACCACCAATTCAACCCTACAGAAAGTATTGCAGGATATTCTAAAAAAAGAAAAATACAAAGAACCCAGAAATAGGGGCGGGGAGGCCACAACGAATAGAGCAGAGACCAAAACGAAGAAGACAAACTGACAGCTACTGACAGAAAAAGAGCTCAACAGAAATGAGACAGAGAAGATTGGATGATAGGAACAGCTTTTTTTGGAGAAAATGACATCTTAATAGGTAATGCTGATTTAGTACCATCTTGTTTTGAAGTCTCATCTAGCTTTTGTTCTTCTGTCTCCAATGGTCTAAACAGGTTGTAGCTTATTGGATTTTGTTATGTACGATAGTATAAGAAAAAACCTTTTAAAGACAAGGAGATTATACAGAGACCATTGTTCATTTTCTGTTAGTCGATTCTAAATACTCTATAATGCTGTCATTCTCTTAAATGGATTTACATTGTTTTGATATACTTAATGCTACAGTATATGAAGTTGTACTCAAGGACTTCAGGGAGGGAGTCAATATGGTAACCATTTTTGGGTCAGGATTAGCTGGTGGTGAAACACTATTCTGCTTAAATGGTTATGTTTTGATCTTCCCTGTTTCGCTGTTATGCCCTCTTTTTTTCTCAATCTCCACTCCATTATTTACTTTTTTATTTTTATCCATTTAATTACAGGGAAAAATATAGCAGGATATAATATAGTAACCCACTTTGACTTTCTATTATCTCGATTTGAAGCCCTGTATTACTCTCACCATCTTGTTTTTGACTGAGGTTCCTATATTCTGTTTTGCTGGATAGTATCAGGTTCGAAAGTTTAGGCATCAGCTGAGAAGATAATGAGATTCATTATAACGCCCATTCTCATTGACTTTTATCTACTTTTGAAGACCTACAATATCTCCAATGTTTTGGTTTTGTCGGTTTTATTCTTTACGGTTTTGTTCAATTGTATTACAACTAATGATATAGGCAATTCTATTAGAAATAGCAGGAGGCATTATGGTAACCATTGTTGATCACCTTGTATTATGTTTTTTATATTATCTATTATGTCCACCCTTTTGACTTGACCGATTCTGTTCTGTTATGTCACATTTGGTTTTACTCTCTTCCAAAAAAGCAACAAGAACTGTGGGAGCAATGAAACCCAAAATGTGTAATAGTCACTATACAAAAGAGAGGAAAAGAAAGTGCTCTAAACTATATAACTGCATGTATATTTAAAAGTATAAGATAGAAAATGATATCACAGAGTTTTATTGGATCATTGAACAGAACTGTTTGCAGTATCATTGTTGGAATGTCCACTCTACAAGCTTTAATTTTGTGATTTGAACAATTATTTCTAAGATGGCAATATGTAATCCATTAACTAGTGATTTCCTACTGCGCATTTTTTTATTCTGTAAACCTGTATAACTTGTACCCCTTCACTGTTTTTTTTTCTTTCTTTGCTTTTCTCCTTAAATAAAAATTAAAAAATAAATAAATAAATAAATAAATAAAAGGAGAAAATCTCAAAGAAAAAAAAAAAAAAAAAAGACTGTCTAGGTTCAAGAACTGGCTCCATTACTTACCAGCTATGGACAGCAAGAATTTTACTCTACTGGCCTCCAATTTCCCCCCACCATAAAATGATCAGAATGTGCTTAGAAAAAATCAGGAATATAATTAGTGATAAATAAATGATTGCTATTTAAAAATTCAACTAACATGAAATTATACAGTTAAATCCATATGCTTCATTTAACTTCCTAGTTCTTCCTAAAGATAATCCCTGGTATCAGATCATTGCAGATTCTATGTATACATAGACATACCATACACATATAGACATACCTACATTTGCATATGTATTTAATATACATCTATATGCCTTCCCATTTTCACAAATGGAAGCTCACTATACTATATACCACAGGTTTTAGTCACTTTCTTATCACTAGGAGAAAATGCCTGATACCCACCACTTAAAGGACAAGAGGTTTACTTTGGTTCACCGTTTCAGTCCATAGTCAGCTGGATCCAAGGCTAAGGGACCTTGATATCAAAAGGTGGTCAAACCACAGCAGCTGAAAGCAGAGAATAAAAACAGTGGCTGGGGATGAAAATACACCCTTCCTGGTCACGCTTCCAGTGACTTACCTCCAACCAGGTCCCACCTCCTTACTTCACATTCAGCTACTAACCTCATCAATGCATGCGACCCTGATGAATAGCTCACCCCATGATTCAATCACCTTCCACACACATGAGGGTACTGCGGCACATTTTATATCTAAACCATAACACTAATGTCTTCGTGTGTTAAAATATTTTGCAGATATTCTGTATCAGTGTGTATAGATAAGCCATATTCTTCTATAAGTGATGCAATATATTCTATTTTGTAGATTTACCATAATGTATTAAACCATATCATTAATTTCAAAGATTTAAGTTTTTTCTAATATTTTTCTAATTCAAAAATTACTGCAATAAATGTGTTTTTCTTTTTTCTTTTTCTTTTAAAGAGGATAAAACAGAATAAAAGCAATCAAAACAAACCACTGTAAGAGATACAGGACTTCACATTACAAAGTCAACAATAATTATCATAATGCCTTATGATATCTTCAAAATAGCTGCAGATACCTTCAGACATAGTAAAAATCAAACAGAACACAATAGAATAGAAACAAAATAAAACAACAAATACAAAAAAGGACTTCAAAACAAGCCTGTAGTAAACCCCAAATGGCTACCATATTATATCTTTTTATCTTTGAAATAGCTGCACCTGCCATCGGATCTGACAAAATCAAAGAGAATAAAACCCAACCCAACTAAACAATGGAAACAATATAGGACTTCAAAACAAGACTATAAGAAATCAACAATGACTGCAGCCCTCAGAAGGAGATTCCCCCCCCCCATATGTCACACTGTATACCACTATCCGAACCTATTATCAGACCACTGACCCTAGACCTGTGATGTTAGTACAACACCAGAGCACCACAGGCATCCAGTTGTATTTCATCTCCATAGCTATCATCACAGCCTGTGTTTCTCCAGATAAGCCAGTCACTTACATGGTGGAGGGGGGTACTTTTTGTTTGCCAGCCTGTGCACCAGAAGAGGCTGGGGTCTGGCTGTTCCTGGCTGTTCCTGGTCACACATGGCAACTGGTTCCAAGACTGAGCTTGCCTGCTGGTGTTGCCTTGTTTACTGTAATAAATGTCTTTGTGCATGCATGTGAAAGTTTATCTATAGAAAAATTCCAGAGGACTGAATGGTGCGACCGGTGATTCCATATATTTTAAATTATTATGGAAATTGACAACTACCTGTCAAAAATACTGAACTAGTTAATATTCCAATCAGCAAATACAGAAGACCCTGTTTTTTTATATTCTCCAAATGTACTTTTTGATCTCTGACAATCTACTCAAAGAATAATTTGAAATTCAATATATGCTATGAGTAATTCGAGTACCTTTCTAATGTTAAAGTCCTTTTCAAAATTGGTTTTTCTTTTCAAAACTGCTTTAGGTCATCTGCTGACTAGACTATCCTCAAAATCTGGTGCTGCTGAGCATAAAATTAATGTCAACTATAAAAGAAAAATATATCCATGTCTACATTTTTAATTATTATTATGAGAGTTTGGAAGCAAGGAGTAAAAAGTCCACACCAATGTCACACAGCATAATGAGGCCTGAAATGATTTTGACTTAATGCTATATGACAACAAAGAGAAATTTTGCACAGTATACCTTGGTCCAAAACTCAAAAGTGCTTCTGAATTTGAATTAGGAAAGATTGATTGATTCTATTAAAGTTTAACTAGGTAGGAAAAATAGATTCTGGTGTCCTGTTGCTCAGGAAAGTGACTATAGATAGTGACAATATTCTGTGTATTTCAGAAATGTCAGAAAGGGGAATTTTGAATATTTAACTACAGGAAAATGATAAATGTTTGCAGAACATTTAACCTCATTTGAGAGTTCTACAACATGTGCATATATTAACACATCACTTAGTACTCCATACATATGTATAATTTTTATGTCATTTTTGAAGTATATCTTATGTCAGAATATTGATTTAAGAACTCTAGATCTAAAGATTCAAAAATTCTCTGAACCATGCTAAATTTAGAAATACTTTAGATTATTGCTGTAGAACAAAAATGTCCCTAATTTTTCTTCCATAATAAGATCTTTTGAGATTGATGTAATCAGAACTCTTGGGCCTCAGGAAAAGCTTGAATTTCAATCTCCATTTTCCTTGAGAATCAGTATATTGTCCAGTTAAAATTTTCATCAGATTTTGGCCTACAGATTCTAAGATATATTTCAGTACTCTTGTCAAACTAGGGTATCAAAGGAGAATTTCGACCATCTTTGCTCTGTTGCATCCTCTCCTCATTTTCACTTCCCAAGCCATCTGAAGAAGCAAATGAAGCATATATTTCCCAATGTTATTATAATATTATTTTAAATACACTTCTTGTCAATATATTTGTCACAATAGCAGGTATAAGAAAGAGCTATTTATATCTTTGTTGCTTGTCTGCCTGCTTGTCTGTTTACATACTTGAAAATAAAATTTATAAATATATGAAGTAATTCCCTTGTTTAGTTTCTCTTGGACCATCATAAATTAGAACCCTCCACTAACCACTCTATTACATAAAGCAGAATAATTCAGATAACTATCCTGTTATTCAGGAGTCTCAGCCTTCAGCACCAGCAATGGGTTTTGTGGGAGATGATTGTTGTGAGGAATAAATTTAGAATTAGACTCTCATAAGAAGCATGCAACTTATATATCTCTTGCATGTGCAGCAAGAAGTAGGGTCTCTGCTCCCAGGGACCTTTCATGCTGCAGCTGATCTGACATAAGGCAGAACTCAGGCGAGCATGTGAATGATAGGCAGCAGATATAAATACAGATGAAACTGCCTTTCCTGATCCTGTGTGGTCCAGTTCTTAACAGTCCACCAATCATAGCCCTGAGGATAGGTCCCCTGCTGCTACGGACATATGGCTATGCACCTTGAGCTAAATATCATTCTAAATGATGCCATTTCATAATAGTTTCAAGCTCAAGCTTTGACATGGAAAACCAAGTTTCAAATTCTACCTCTGTCATTGTCTCACTACCTTTGAAGTCACTAAATATCTTTTGAACCTCTCTGCTTCACCATGGGTATAGTATGATATCTTTCTGTGCAAGAAAGCATTACTTCAGCATGCCCGAAATGCTCAGATCTTGCATAGTCCCAAGAAGGGCCTATATCCATGACTGGTACTCGGCCAGTGCCTGAGATTTGAGCTGTTAGAATGTTCTAAGAACTGCAGGTGTTTTTGTATACTCACAGTCTTGAGCCAACTGTACCAGTTCGTGCCAATAGTTGTGCAAACAACATGGTTTATGGTAAACACCTGATTTCCTTCTGGAGATCTGCATCATCAATGGCTGTGACATCCAACAAAAACTGACTTCTAGGGTAAGGCAGCCTTCTCTAGGAAACAAGTTTTGTGTGTCGTCTAAACTCATTGCTAGAGGAATTAAGCATATCCTGTGCAATTTCACAGGGAGAAGACCCTTGGAAATTCAAGTTTTGTTTCCTTTAGACTGAGTGCCACATACTTTTTCCCATTGTTGATTTTGCTTTGTATCCTCTCACTATAATAAATGAAATGTTTATTATTTCACTATAATAAACACAAATCCTGAGATCTGTGAGAATTCATAGTAAATCACTAAATCTCAGAGTGATTTTAGAGATGCCAACATACTATTTCAAGGATTATTCTGAAGGTTAAGTGATAGTGTTAAAGTAAGTATTCAATTATTAAAGTAAGGTGAAGAAGATTTAGCTAAGGACCATTGTGATAGTTATAGGTATCCCTGCAATGGAGATGGGGAGATACTGGGATCATTCTTAATGTAGAATGAACAAATGGCAAGAAGTGGGGCAGGCGGAGAATATATAGAAAAACTATGGAGCCAACATCAGGAATGAGAGATGTTCTAGTCCAACTGACCCAACAATGATTTTGGCTGAGAAGAGGCCAGGATAACCAGGCATCACTGGAGGGTGATGGAGGATGAGGAACTGGGTCAGATAGCAAAAGTAGTCAGATACCAAGAGTGAGAGTTTTGGAGAGCTCGCCTCCCTGGTAAGCAGCTGTGGTGCGGCAGACTGCGGGCCTTCCAGGGGGAGAACCACCAGTGTCTTCTGAGACCCACACCATGTTGGAACTTAGGACCCTGGGAAACCAAGCAAGCAGCTCCCCTCCCGGCTAAGCAATAGTGAACCTACTGGTGCACGGTCTAGAGTCAAACATCCCACTTCCCCTACCATCCTTCTGCTGTCCCCCACTAGCAAATGGGAATCAGAAATCTGAGCATCTCCTGGGAGGTTGACCATAGCAAATAAGGGAGATTTCCTTCTACCATCTCTTTGAAAGCAAATATTTTTATTGCTGTTTTGCTCTATTCTGATTAATGGTACTGCTTTACTCAATATTCTGTTTTTATAAGTTCTATAATATTCTGTATTTCATTTTATTTTGATATATGTGATTGAAAGAACAACTATTGTAAAGATAATGAAATATACTGTGATACCTATTACTGTTATCCTGGTAACCTGCTGTGATGTTCTGTACCAATTTCACCACACAGTTTCAGTTGGTTTTATTCTATCTTGTTCTGTTGTATTTTACTACTTTCAAAATAAAAAAAAGAGTGAGGGTTTTTGCTGAACTTTGTTATTATAGCAGTATTTTTTTTTTGCTAAAACTGAATTTCATAGAGAAGTGGACAGATGAAAATAGAAGTTTTAGGAACCTAACTAGTGTTTGATCAAGTGGAGAATCTGTCACCATATAGATCAAGCAGCTGACTGAATCTCTACCTAAGAGTGTTTTGTGGGAGTTATTGACATGATTCCTATAAAATTCATAAGCATATTAAGTATATATTATTATCTATCATGTACACTGTGTAGTCAGGCTCTTTACATTATTAATAAAAGATTATTGTTCATTTTCTTACTCCTTTACCCTTTGTTAAT